AACCCCCTGTCCCAGCCCTGATCCCCCTGCCGCTCTCTAAACCCCTCGATCCCAGCCTGGATCACCCTCCTGCACCCCAAACCTCTCATCTCCAGCCCCACCCCAGAACCTGCACCCTCAGCCAGAACCTGAACCCTTTCCTGCACCCCTGCCCCAGCCCTGATCCCCCTCCCGCCCTCCGAACCCATCAGTCCCAGCCCAGAAGACCCTCCTACACCCCAAACTCCTCATCCCCAGCCCCACCCCAGAGCCCACACCCCCTCCCGCATCCCAACCCCAATTTTGTGAGCATTCATGGCCCTCCATACAATTTCTATTCCCTGATGTGGCCCTCGGCCCAAAAAGTTTGCCCACCCCGATTTATAGTGTCTAGCAAAGTTATGAATTTAAGTTCCCAGGCTCATCTTTTTGAAAGTGTTTTGCACCTTTCCTTTAAGGATGAGGACTGAGAGGTCAGATATGGAGTGATTGTTTTGTGAGACGTGTTTGCCCTTGGGTAATACGGTATTTTTGTCTTTTATCATTGGGGGGGGCATTTAGTGCACTGGATGAGATACACCATGTTGTGATAGGCATGGGTAGGACCAGCGCCGTCCCTAGTGGGGTGCGGGGCCCGGGGCGGAAGTGACAGATTCGTCTCTTCCAGGACTGACCACGCCAGTCAATCACACCAGCCCTTGGAGGCCCCCCAAAGTGCAGGGCCCGGAGCGGTCACCCTGATTCATCCTACCCAAGGGACGGCTCTGGGTAGGACCCGTGGATCTTGAAAGATATGTTGGGGGGGTGGGGGGCGATCATTGTAGCAGTGGAGATATGTCTGCAGGTTTTGCATCTATTGTGGCAGGGTCTGGTGCTGCTTTAAGTAGAGGAGTCCTTGTCTGTGGGAAACTTGCTTCTGATATGAAGTTGGGGGGTCGTTTGAAGGCCAGAAGTGGGGGTTCAGGAAAGATTTCTTTCAAGATGTTGTCCCCCATTGAGTATGGATTGTAATTGTTTAATGATACCCCATATGGCTTGCAATGTGGAGTGGTAAGTGACAACTAGGGGTGAGCGATCAGAGGGTTTTTTTCTGCAGTGAAGCAGGTTCTCTCAGGGATGTTTGGGTGGCACATTCCATTATGCGACCTACTTCTCCAAATGCCCCAACAATTATGTGGGTGAAACTAGACAATCACTACGCTCTTGAATGATCTCGCACAGGAAAAAAAAAAGATAAAAAGTTAAAAACACTGTATTATCCAATGGTAAACGCTTTTTTCACAAAACAGTCACTCCATTTCTGACCTCTCAGTCCTCGTCCTCCTGCACAGCACCTTGAAAAGAGGAGCCTGGGAGCTTAAATTCATCACTTTACTAGACTCTAAAAATCATGGTCTTAATTAAGACACTGGATTTATGGCTTATTACAAAAATCTGTAACCCACTAACTCCCCTCCACATTTTATTATACCAGCACTGGAATGGTGTTAAGGGACCACTTCACCTTGAATAGTCTTTTAGAATATATGTTAACAACTTATGCTAAACAATCTGTTCCACTTTGTATTTAGCTGTGACAGTCTGAGTACCTACCTTTTCCAGACCTAAAGAAGAGCTGTGTATCGCTCAAAAGCTTCTCTCTCACCAACAGAAGTTGGTCCAATAAAAGATATCACTTCACTGGTATTTTGTCACCCTCCCTCATTTTGTGTCTCTTTGAAATCAAAGGCATATACAGTAGCGCAGCTTTCAGTCAGCACTGCTGAGCCAATAAGCTTTTCCCATTTGGTACCACTGGCAAGCAAAGAATAGACAGAGTCAAAATTTAAGTTCAAACATACTGTAGCCAAACTTTCCTCTTCTGCTTGGCCATGTCTACTGCGCTATAGCTAGGGGGCCATGGCTATTTGTATTGTTTGTTGGCTGAGAGTTTGACTCATCAGCCCAAACAACATTTCTAGAATTATTTCACATTGGGTAAGAGAATATTTATTGAGAATCAGTCAAACATTTTTACCTTTTTGCTTCCCTGTCACACTGCAAGCAAAAACAGATTATTTAAAAAATGAAATATTACAAGTATTTTTTTTGTTAGTGGATTGGTGGCTTGTTTTCAAATGTAAATTATTTTCTAGTCCACATGCAAGGTGTTGGATAGAAATTCTTTTATACATATGAAGAACAGATAGTGTATGGGCAATGGTAATAGAGCAGGGGTCGGCAACGTTCGGCACGCAGCTTGCCAGGGTAAGCACCCTGGCGGGCCGGGCCAGTTTATTTACCTGCTGACGCGGCAGGTTCGGCTGATCGCGGCCCCCACTGGCAGCGGTTCGCCGTCCTGGACCGATGGGGGCGGCGAGAAGCCGCAGCCAGCACATCGCTCGCCCGC